TAATCATGATTAATTTATTTTTAAGCTGTGATTAATCTGATTTAAAAAATGTTAATCGTTTGACAGCCCTAGTAAAAACAGAAGCTATACAACACATCACTTTATTCAATTTAATTTGTTTTACTGAGCTACTTCCTTGTTCAGCTTTGAACCTCTGCATGTGCCAAAGCAAATCATTTATTGAAAACATTATTTCTCATATTTGTTTAACTAATAAGAAAATTGGATATGACAAACATTGAATTATTTGGGTAGGTAAAATAAGTACATTTTTGAAAACATGCAGCCTCCACAGGCAACAAACACAGCTGCTGTAGGAACTTCCAGAGGGTGTTTGCAGCATAAACATGACCTGCTTTGGCATTACACTCCTGGCAAAACCAGGCTATTCATTGTAACTACTTGGTCTTTTTTCTTATATCCCCTGCATGGAAAATTGTTTTGTGTCCTGTTTATAGTTTGTTGTTTTGGTTTACCTTTCAGTGACTTTAAAGGTCAACCAACATCATCTGTTTTATTTCCACAACTTATTAAAATAGTACACCAAGCCTTAAGCACAAGGCACAGGCATTCACACACAGGTTTACCAGATAGGTGTCACAACTTGACCCCCCCCCACGCGGTCACCCCGTTCCCTGTTGCAAATAAATGTTTAACATGTTGCTGTTTATCAAGGAAACAGTTATTTTTTTAAGGTTTATTCATTGCTCTTTTGTGAGACTCCTTAAAATAAAATCCTTGAAGACGAAGCATGAACAGAAGGTTAAAGGCTAAAAGACCAACGAGGAAACACCGGGCAGGCTGGTTCAGAGTCAGCAGTCCGATTAAATGCCCACGACGCGTCCACCGCCAAGATTTTGCAGAGTGACATCTAACCTACTTACTGACATTTTGGAAACTGTTGACAGCGGCTCAGCGCCACATGCTCCTGTTACACTTGTGACTTATCTTTCCATGCCCAAATTGTTTCCTCTAGTCCTGAAGCAGCTGACAGCTCCTCCTTTGACGTGGAGCTCGGTGACATCATCCTGACGGCGACCGACGGTCTATTTGACAACATGCCAGACTACATGATTCTTCAGGAGCTCAAAAAACTCAAGGTAAGACCTTTGGATTATCAGTTTATTCAAGCTTTCACACATCGGTTGTAAGTGAACAAAAATGCAGGCATATTTTAAGCCTTTTAAATTGTAATCATTTTTACTTCTGATCCTTTCAGGCTACCAACTATGACAGCGTCCTGCAGACTGCACAGAGCATTGCAAAGCAAGCTCACGACCTTGCCTACGACCCCAACTATATGTCCCCTTTTGCACAGTTTGCATGTGACAATGGCCTGAATGTGAGAGGTAAGTTACACTGTGCTTCACATTCTGTGTACGGTACATGTCATTCAGGCAATAGTCAATGTAAACTAAGACTAAAGGAAAATAACACTTGAGAGGATGCATTTTTTGGCTTTCCCCAATAATATTTCAGTTTAAAAAAAAAAAATGGGCTGTTTTGATATTTAGACATATAAGGGTTGTTAATAGGCTGCATTTACGGCTCTAGTTTGACTCTAGTTTTCCAGACAACAGCTAAATAAAACGGGAAATGTATCTTAAATAGCCTTACAAAAACGTACTCTGCGACTGGCATGGTTTCTCACACCCTTGTTTTATTTTTTCTGCAGGAGGAAAGCCAGATGATATCACGGTGCTGCTCTCCGTTGTGGCTGAATATACAGACTAAAGTGTGTCTGAGTGTGTGTGAGCGCTTTCTCTGGGGCTGATCCTGCCTCCCCCTCTGAGTCTTCCACCTGCAGCCCTCCCAAAAAAATGCACTGCATCCTCTGGGCTGACAGGGGAGGCCCACCATCACGACACACACTCCTTGCTGCAGGGCCGCTGTCCACGTGTACATTTTTGGTTTTCTTCCTCTTGTTTTTGTTTGGTGCTTGAACAGTTGAGGGCGAAGCAGGCAGCTAGGACATTTTCATGTTGATCATGATGCGGGAGGAGTTGAGCATGAGAGGCTGAGGCAAACTTTTCAGTCTCCTGTGTCTCACATCTGAGGTGATGTGACTGAGAGGCAGTTCGGTTTGACTGAGGGCTTAACAACCGGGTAGCCCTTGTTTATAAAAAGTCATATTAAAAGAGGAGTAAGCCACGGTTTCAGAGAGAAATGGTTGAGTTGACTAGTTGTCTCTGTTTTTCCAGTTGATAATCTGTTCATTGTTGTAAATGTATTTAAACAAAGCATAAATATGGACTGAGGAAGCTGATGTTTGGAATGGATGGGAATTATTAAAAAATTGGATTTAAGAGTTTTGTTTTCATGGGTTCGGGTATGTGTACGATGGAAGAGCAAACTAGTAACTGCTAGGATCAAAGTAACCTCTTAAAGGGAAACCACAACACCTGCTAGAGCTTACATGTTTAAGTTGATCAGTTCTTTGTCCGTTCGTTTGGGAGTCTGTCGGTGCGCACACATCCTTATGAGTTGTAAATATTTTTGTGTTTTCAGGGGTTCGTTCTGGCCTTTCTGTTGTCTTTGCTTTACAGCAGAGAGCTATTTCGTTACTATTGTGGATGATGAAAAAATGGTTCATAAATATATTTTCTTGTATAGATGTTAATCTCGAAATGAGCTTTATAAATCCCACACTTCCACACACTGAAATGAACAAGAGGATCTTTGCTGAGATTGATCGCTGCAGCAGTTGTGTGGTAGGAAGGTGTGAGTGCGGTATACATGTGAGAAGTCCTTTAATGGCTATTCTAGTGTATTTAATGTTGATATTTGTTTTCTCGCAAATGCAAATCTAGCATCTGGGAATGCTCACAATTGCAATGATGGGTCAGGAATGAGTTTAAAGAGAAAACATGTATTTTTTTAACGTTATTTAGTTTTTAAAATTGGTTGGGAGTGACTGCTGACGTGTGGTGAATGACAGATTCAGCTATCTTAACAAGAACCAGGTGTGCATGTTGACGTAGGGATGTGTATGTTTATTTGTTTTGTATCATTTTTTTGCTCCTTATTTCCCTTTACATTTGTTTGCTGCTTCTCTTTTGTAATTCTGATGTCTGTATATGACTTGACACGATTTATATGATCAGCATGATTGTAATGAGTGTGTGTCTGAAAGTGTTTGCTGCATCAAATACATTGATAACACTGTTATCTTCATCATAGTCTGTCCCTTTTTGTCTAACAGCTCGCCCAAGTGGTTTGGACAATGTCTTTACAGTTTATAAGCGGGTGACACCAAAGACACATTTTCTTTGTGTATGTCATACAGTACACGCACGCTTTTGTTGATACAAACATCGTACAGCAATACTGTAAATTCCATGTGTTCTGAATCTTGAGTGCTGGTATGGGTGGAAATGTTCAATGGGAACATTATAAATGATTGATCTATGCTTATAGTTGTTATATTAGAGCGTAAACTATCATAATCTTGATTTAAGTTATAAGTGACCGGTTGCTAGAAAGTGTAAGACAGGTTTATGAAACCAAAGAAGGAAAGCCATATACAAACACGTGATTATGGCACTGCTCTGTAAGCCCTGCTGTAAAGATAACATGGTGTTTCTTCACGCATACACATAATGGACATAATTATTATGATTATTAGAATATTTTTTGTTCGCTTGTCTGCATTGTTCTTTCTGCATGGTTTCTGACTCAGCTGTTGGCACCATTTAACAAAGTTAATTCACACAGTTGTCTGTTGTTGTCTTGGTGACTTATAATTGATGTGTCAAGGTTCTGAACCTGTATTTATTTCAATGATAGACCTATATTTAAAGAAAGATGTAACTCATATGCAGGAGGGGTGGTGAGAAGGGTAATAGTGCTGAGAGCTAACAGTACGTGGGTGAGCACAGTTTCAGCCTTAACAAATAGCTAGACCTGTAATAAAGAGGCCTTTCCTGTCATTGCAAGCTTGTCTTGTCCTTGGTCATGTCGCCCGTTGTTTGATGTAAATGAAAGTCTGCGCCCGTCTTTCTCTCCTGTAACGATTTTCTCAAAGGTGCTTCTGCAGTCTGTATGGTATGATTGTCCTCTTTTTAGCAAGCAATGTTTGTGTGTATGAAAGCTACTCCTATGTCTCAAGTGTAACAATGCAGGTCTAATTTATGTAAATATGTTTTAAATATGTACAATATTTAAATAAAGAATCTAGTATTTATACTAAATCTGCTCAAGTATTTTTATGATGTTTCATCTTTTTATACTGGTGTACTGCTCACAGAGATGCATCCAGTACATGTAATAATAACCATGTTCTCTATTACTACTATTCTGGTACATCTTACTGTTGGTGCAAATATTAAAGGTTTTAATACATTTGGTTACATCTTCTTCATGTACTCTCTATTCACTTTAATGTAAGTTAATAGTTAAAGTAAAATATGAATAATAGAATAAGTGTAAACATTCCCATAAAACATAGGCCTACATACTTCAGGGGTACAATATAACTTTTTTTTTAAGGCAATAGTGTTATTAATACTTCTTCTCTGTTTTTTAGCACTAAATTCTCATCTTCAAGCAAGAATTTTCCTTGAGATTATTACAGTAATATCTTATCTTTATGAGCCTACCAATAGAGGCCAAAGTCTAAATCCTGCTTAAGTATTTTGAAGCAGGCCTATACTTGAAAGTAACAATGTATACATTAAAGGGGCATATCCTCTCTCCTGCTCCTCATATCTTATGTATACGGGTTCACTGGTTAAGAAAATCTACATGAGTGACAGTATTATGAACAGAGCTACTTTTAAATGCAGGCCTATCTAATAAAATATGCCATTTCTAAATAAGAAATACTTCTGTGTGTGATTGAATACCTCAAACCTGAAATCACAAAACAAAGGGAAATCCAACAAATGCAAAGTAAATCTATTATCATAAAACCCTGCAATAACCAGACTGTGCCTGAGATTATGATTATCAGCAGTAGATGGCAGTGTAGAGTTCAAGGAAGCCATGGATGTTTTGTTTACTAATCTGTTCCAGTTTCTCTTCCTGTAGCCACCAGCTAACCTACATTCCTGCTGACAGCAGAGATCCTGGTTTAAATAGGTGTGTGTCAGCTGACAGTTGTGTGATGCTAGCATGTTAGCGTCGGAGTTGGCAAGAAGATACTGTACCAATTCAGCGTTTATCGAAGTGGTGCGGTTCTCTTTTATAGTTTAACCATTTATTTGTTTGTTTGATCTTAAAGTTAACAAAGCGAACAGTTTTGTTTAACATGAAATTACCTTTCCAGCGCTAAATGGCTTTTTATAGCCCTTAGCAAGCTGAAAGAGCCAGGAAGCTAATCTTCCTAGCAACTGTAGCTAGCTGTGACAGCAGGTAAGCTAACCAACGGTTATCTTCATGGAGAGCCTTAAAGTGCTAGCCAAGCTTTTAGGGTGAGTTATGTGAACAAACTGTAGACCAGCGGCTCCTGTGGAGGTAAATGTTGAATAAATGGCAAAAATAGAGCAGGGCAATGGGGTTGACTTGCGGGGCAGCCAAGAGAAGCTGACAGATAATGGGAAAGGCAGCTCGTATGGATCCGACCCAGAGGTAAACGGCAATGTCCCCGGGGAGAAAGAGGTGGACAAGTACGGGTTCAGCGGAGGAGCCCAGCAACACTCATCGTAAGTGGAGCTAAACTTCTCCTTATGTGGTTAAAACTGTGTGAACTGTTTGTGTATGTCTCCACAAACTGACACACATATTCAGGTGCTTTCTCCTCCTACTTGACTGAACATTTTGGAAGTAATGAAAGTAAATGGTCCTGTAACGAAGTAATTTACTATATTTCTTACTCAAATTATACACCTTCTCGAAATAATGATTTAATATCTCAAAATAATAAGAATTTCCAAGTCATTAATTTGAGAAAGTTTTACTTTTTCTTAGTCATTATAAATATACCTTTTTTTGAGAATGTGTTTCATATATTTTATAATAGTCCTTTTTTGAGAAATATTGTATTATTTAGAGATACTAAGTCATCATCAAGGAGGTTTATTATTATGTTGGGATAGTCATTTTTAAAAAAGTTTTTAAAAATCCTCATTTTAAGAAAATAAACCCTTTTATTTTGAACCTTTTGTTGAGATACTAAGTTATTATTTTGAGAAGGTTTCTTATTATAATGACAACTTTTTTTGGTGCAAATACAAATCCATAGAGGCCAGGTAAAGGTGAACAACAAACATTATATGTATCTCTCTTTCTCTGTCACAAAACCATTCTGTGGTTGCTTTAATAGACACACTGATATGTTGAGACATAAAGGAATTTGTCCCAATCTTGTGTATAACCGTTTAGTTCTGTGTGGGTACAACAATAATTATGACAGCTCTGAACATGCAGTTGAGATGTTGGTGTAAGCGGTGTGTAGGAGGTTCTAGGGAACTGAACTAGGGGAAAGTTCTCCCACTGTTTCCTGTTTTCCCTGTACTTGCTGCCGATGGCAAGTGTTCCACTGTTTCGTCTGAGGTTAGGTTTCCTGTGTGAACAAGGAAGAGATGAGCCAAAGTCCCACCTCCTCTAAAGACAGTATTCCCTCTGTTATAAAGGGAAGTGACACTGTGTAGGCATTGTCCATTTGTATGAAAAGGATTTGCTTTTATCAGTCACAATGTCTCCTATCTGCACAGTGCTGAAGAAATCCCAACTGATGTGCTGAGGCAGCGGGAGTCAAAATGGCTGGAAATGCTCAACAGCTGGGACAAGTGGATGGCCAAAAAACACAAGAAGGTCTGTTTTATGAACTGTACATTATCTGACTTAACATGTTTCTTTCTTTGTAATAAAAATGTTCACTTTGCAGGCGTTCGTTCAAAATGCAGTGGCTGAGCTAGGAAACTTGTATTCATTTCTACAGCATGCCTGTTTTTTAAAGTTTGGTGATTGCCTGCACGTCATTTCGTAGCAAGTGGTATTTTGCACGCTGCAGTATATACAGGATTGTTTTCCAATGTCTGTGTCCCTTTTATCTGCACTTCATTTATCTTGCTTTCTGCTGGCTTTGAGTAACTGTGAGTATGTTGAATTACAGGTGAAAGAGCGCTGTCAGAAGGGGATCCCTCCATCCCTGCGTGGCCGGGCCTGGCTCTACCTCACTGGGGGCAAAGTTAAAAGGGAACAAAACCAAAGAAAATTCCAGGTAAGACAATTATTTGTTGACTGACCACCGCCGTAAAAGAATTGGACTGTGTTGAAAATCTCTGCAAAATGAAAAATGTTTTCATGATACTTGAGACTCTCTAAGTCTAAATGCTTATAACTTTACTATGGCATTTAGATCAAGAATTGCCTATTTTAAAATATAGCTATCAAAAGGTGGTTGATGATGTTGCAAAAGCTGACAAACTGATAATGTTGTTTAGGAACTGGACAGTCAGCCAGGAGATCCTAAATGGGTAGATATTATTGAGAGGGACCTCCATCGGCAGTTCCCGTTCCATGAAATGTTTGAAGCCAGAGGGGGTCATGGGTAAGTGCTGCCTTTGATATAAAAGCCTCTCATAATTTGAATGTTGTGTTATTGAAGCTGTGCATATTTTATTGATGTATTTTATATATTTGTATACATTCAGGCAGCAAGACTTGTTCCGTGTGTTGAAGGCTTACACTCTGCATCGGCCTGAAGAGGGTTATTGTCAGGCTCAGGCTCCAATCGCTGCTGTTCTCCTGATGCATATGCCAGCTGAGGTAAACACACACTACATCATCAAAAACATTTTCTCTGGGTACTCACCTCCCTAAGGATGTTTGGGGCGTGTTCTGACACATTGAATAATGAGGTAAAGATCTGTAAATAATGATCACATTAACACTCATTCTATGTATAGTTTTTCCGTTTTGTTCAAAGTACAATTTATCTTGAAAAGTACTTCACTTGAATATGAATAGCATATATTTTTACCCTTGTTTCCTTTTCCTTTGTCCTAGGATGCATTCTGGGTTCTTGTTCAGATTTGTGAGAAATACCTCCCTGGATACTACAGCTCAGGGCTGGTAAGAGTCCACACAGAATTACTGACACATCATTTTGTAAAGAGGACTTTAAATATTAAGAAGATCTTGAGAAGATAGGAGTGCAACCTGTAACAGGATTACATATTAACACTGTTAAACATGTCAATTATTATTTATCTGAACCCTGTAAACATAGCTTAAATGAGTCCTTTGCCCAGTGCAAGCAAAAATACACTTACATAATTTGATGCCCACGAACACTTGTTTTCTCAAGTCTGCAGTTATGCCACATTATAGGCCTGAATCCTTGCATTTTTTATAATTGTTCTTACATTATACTGCCCAGGAGATGTCTCATTATTTAGGCTCAGGTCAAGTTATCAAACTCAAGATAATTATTATTAAGTGGAAAATATTCTTGCATATTGTTGCATCGCAAGAATATAAGAACTCTATATTATTTTACAAGTTAACCAGAAGTAAAACAAAAGTTGAGCTACTTCCTTAAAAAGTATCTTCTATTAATGCATGCAATGTGTGGCTGCTGGTGGTGTTATAGTTCTCTGGCCAGTGTATCTCCAGTTTGACCCTAATACACTAATGACCTTAACTACACGAAGTGTTGAGAAAGCTCCCCTCCACTGACTGCTGTTCCCTGTTTCCTCCACAGGAGGCGATCCAGCTGGACGGGGAGATCCTGTACGCTCTGCTGCGGCGGGTGTCCCCGGTGGCCCACCGTCACCTGAAGAAGCACAAGCTGGAGCCCGTCCTGTACATGACCGAGTGGTTCATGTGCGCCTTCTCCCGGACTCTGCCCTGGGCCTCTGTGCTGCGGGTCTGGGACATGTTCCTTTGTGAGGGTGAGACACTACACTTTATTTTCATTGGTATTTTATTATGCATGAAAAACATTGTCCACGACATCACAGGTTCCCCTTCCTGAGCTTTTGAAGATAATGAATGTTTCCAGGCCCTGTGCATGTGACTATTAATCATCTGTATAATTTGACCTGCAATAAAACAATGCATACTCGCCTTTCAAAGAATGCAAATGTTTAAAACAAGAATGCTACCTATTGTTTTGGTTTGTGATATGAAATAGATCACCATTAAAAATTATAGATGTAGACCGCTGCTCTATCTGCATGATTCAAAATGTACTGCTGCAATTTCTGATTATTTTTCACGATTTTTAAACTACTTTCACGAGAAAATTGTGAAAAGCGTCCATCCCAGTTTCTCAAAGGTACTTCTTTAAATGTCCTTTTCAGTCTTAAAAACAAAACCCATTCAGTTTCATTCTAAAGAAATCAGAAAACGTGTATAGTTTGTCATTCGGATTGTCTATAGTAGTATACTGTCATGTCATTATGTTGCTTATGCTGTTGCATGTCTATCCATCTAGGGAGAGTGATCCCTCTTCAGTTTCTCTTTCTTTGGTCCCTTCCACTGTTTCCCTGTTGAAAGGGGAGTGCTATATAGATCTTAAGGCCCTTTGAGGCAAATGTGTGATATTAAGCTATAGAAATGAAACTTTACTTTGTGTCTGATGTGTTCTCAGGAGTAAAGATCCTCTTTCGGGTAGGCCTGGTTCTCCTGAAATGCACGTTGGGATCCCAGGAGAAACTGAAGGCCTCTCAGGGTCTGTATGAAACAATGGAGCTGCTCCGAGCCATACAGCCACAGTACCTACGAGAAGGCTTCCTGGTGCAAGAGGTACAGTTTACTCTGTCATGGTTATTGTCTGTTATCCAATATATTGTTTTGACCCTTTGACTTTGCCCTCCTGTGGTTGTTGTAACATTGATATACAAATACCTGTATGTAATGTGCTGAAATACTTACTCAAACCATGTTTCAGATAATTGAGTTAGGGGTGTCAGAGAAAGACATTGAGAAGGAACACTTTGCTCAGCTGCGCCGCTGGAAGGAGACTCATGGAGATCTACACTGCAAGTCCCCTCCCAGGATGCACGGCGCTAAAGCTATCATTACGGCAGAGCCGCCCAGCCGCCAGGACCTGAAACAAAGGCCCACCATCATCGTGCAGTCGCCCCTGGCAACGCAGACGGACGGAGAGAGAGAACAGGATGCCAAGGAGAGTGCAAAGACTAACAAGGGGAAACAGAAGAAAACGGTTAATCCTTACCTTTCTCCCAGTGACCCCTCCCTTCTCCTCAAACACATGACTGTACAAGGGTCCAAAGAAAGTCTGAGCAGCGCCGAGCATGACACTTACCTGTAGCGGGGTAAGTGTCCCAGTTTACTAACATCACCATTCACAACAGCCTTTACAGTTTTAAGTAAATGTTCTTGAGTCACAGTGACATGACAAAAATAGGATAAAGCTGCACAAAGTATACAACATACATTTTGTCATTGTCACAATTGTCCATAAGCTCATGTCTGTGCGACCGCACATGTGCAAACTAACTGAGCTTTAAAAGTCAACAAAGTTTAGCTGTCATGTCATTTATACATGTTTCTATTTACCTTACTTATAACTAAATGGAACTCGTAAATGTGTAATTGCGGAACAATGGATGACAACTCTGTGCTGTGAGGGACATTGAGCTAATTCAGCTATATAATGCTGCAGAGATTTGTTTTCGAAAGCTAACCTGCTTGTTAGTATCACTCTGGTTCACTCTACAAAGCCAATGGGATTTGTCCATTTGAGTTTGGATTATTGCAGAAACAAAAGTGTAAGATACTTTTGTTCACTAAGGAAAATGAACACAACTATGACTTTTACTGTAAATATAAATGCAATCTCTAAAAGTAACAAACTCCACCACGGTTTAAGCAGATGAGTCTCTGCCTTTGGAGTGTTAGTATTTAATGGGCCCAATATTAACTGGTCTTAGCTACAGACCTTATATCATGCATCTTAAAAAACGTTTAAAAACCCATCGATTAAAACAAGGGAACTGAAAATGTAAAAATGCTGACTAATTTCCGGCTATCAGGATTCATTCCTTTTGCAATCTATTAGCTTCATATGAGCGAACATATGGGGTTCACAGTACACTCGCTAACTCACTGTTAACAGCTGCTGCTGCTGCTGCTGCTGCTGCCGCTGCCAATTACCTCCCTAATTGTACCTCTTAGATTATATATGAAGTCTGATTTTGTCTTTGTTGATGAGGTCTTTTCTACAGCACTTTGTCTTTATGGCCTTCCTCTTTGCCTTCATTAGTCACTACGTTGCCAACGCAGAGATTCCTATTTAACCTGCTACGAATACGCACATTTGACTGTCAGTGCAGCATCCAGGAGTCTTTGCTGATGTTGAACACTGGAGGGCGTCCTCACAGCGGTGACCATCACAGGTCTCTGAGTGAGAGCAAAAACTGACACATGAAGGAAGAAGTATGCAGGGACAATTAGTGCCACTAAGCCAAAGATTTGTAATGCTGATTTTTTTTAAATATATGTTGTTGAAGCAGTTTATCCAATCATATTGTGATTCAGTATTAGGGAGAGGTTTTTGTTTAGTTATGAAAGAGATGTGGTGAAATGCCATGTTGAAGAACGATATGTGGTGAAATGCCATGTTGAAGAATGATAATACAGAGCTGTTGTTTTTACAATCATGCTTGAAGGTTGTGGGCCTTTAGACTTAAATATATTGGATGTGGATTTAAAGAAAAAAAAGACAGAAGGAGATTTTTTTGTAATCTTTTTAACGTCAGAATCCAATCTCCGGTTCATTAATGGTGTTATCTTTCTGATAAAACGGTTCAAAACTTAATTGAATTTTTAAAAACACCACGAAAAATAATAATGAAGCCATTATAGTCTTTAGCCGTTCTTTTTTTAATGGCATGATTTAACAAACGAAAGAATATGAAGGACTAGTTCTCTTTGGTTTTTAAGAAGTATGACCCTCCAGGATTTTGTGTACATATTCAAATAAACCATAGAAAATATTTGGTGATAATGGATGATATTAAAAGTCAAGGGAGTCCAACACTTTTGATTACTATTGAGCTCATTTTATCTGAGCTGTGACAATGAAGAAATTGCTTGAAATGATTCTTAATGAATTTATAAACTCCCAGTCTAGGAAAAGAATGTATTAGCAGCTGTGTAAATGTACATCAAACTATATGCTGTCAAGAGTTTTATACTGGAACATTGGTTGTGTGTATGTTGATTTTAAATGTGGGATGTTTTGAAAGTATATTCTACGGGTTCATTTTCTGTCTAATAGTATGCATTGTTTAACAACCATGTTCTGTGAAGCCTTTTTATATTTATATTTTTAAAAGGTTTAATCAAAATAAAAAATAAAAATCACATGTAGCCAGCTGTCCTGTAGATGGCGCCACCGAGCTTCAACCTGGGGTGTAAATGAAGGATATACAGGATGTGGTTTGGATTCCTGTATAATATTCAACAAAAATATATTTTGTAATGTCGACAAGCTTCTTATTACTAATCATTGCAACTATTATGATTCAAGAAAAGATTGTAAATGTGTAACTTATCTTGCTGTCATTCTATAGGAACCTATTTCTCATCTGTTTTTAAATTGAAATCAACTTCTCATATCTACGAGCTGTTTTATAGCAAATTACTTCATTAAATCAATACAGAAAGAAAACGTCAGATCTGTCATGTTTTCCATTTTTGTTTTGACATTAAATCCCTTTTATTTTAGACAAAGAAAAAGAGACAGGGGAAGAAGTGCCACACAGACTGGACTGAACAAGCAGGCCTTCAATGCCGCCTGTGTTATCATTCAGCGCCCTCACACCCCCCGCCTCCCCTCCCTCCCTCACCCACGCAGCAGCACACTTCCTTGGACACCTGTTTCTCCGGCTCTTTCAGCTCTTTGAGGAATTTGCATCTCAAATAGAGCAAATTCCCACAGCAACGTCTAAAGCGCCTCACCCTGCCATTTGCCTTTTAGTCTCTGAATGGAGTCTTCACAGGCCTTCTTCTTCTTCTTCTTCTTGTTCCTCTCCTTCTTCTTTTATGGTTTTTCTTCTTTTTCTGCTTCTCCTTGTTCCTCTCTTTTTTGTATGGCTCTTCTGACTCTGATTGTTCTTCTTTGTTTCTTCTTTTTCTACTTCATCTTCTACCTTTTTTAATGTTTCTTCTTCTTCTCCTGCAGTCAAAGAACATGATAGCTAGGAAAGCTCTCCTCTATATTTCTATTCACCCATTTAGTGATACCCCAACACTTTAAATGTTTCTAAGTACATGTTTGGGCCCTTTTAGCAATAATTCCTTTACTATTGTTGCTTGTATTCTTATTGTTGTCCTATTACGACTCCATACTTCCGCTCATTTAAAGTAGAGACATTTTCTGTCACTTGAGAATGCACTTGATGGCAACAATGTCGTATTTGTATAGAGATTTGTCATCTTCCTTAACGCCACATTTCTGAGTCTTCCTCACTGCGGCCTTTTCTATTTCTGGGAAGGATGTTGTGTGTCACTTGTCTGAGGACGCCTGTCATTAATGCATTTTTTTGTAATTCGGTCTACTCTAATCGTCTCTTGTGCCTTTTGCTATGTGTAAACAATGCTGTCTTCTCACCCCAACTCCACCCTTCACCTCAACCCAACCTCGCCCCAGCGGACTCTCCCTACCCCCACCTGTCTCGCTGTGCTGAGCCTAGCCTCCGACAGAGAGGGTGTAATGGGAGAACAGTTTATGGCTATAGTCTGCAGAAAAGACGTGACCCAGACTTGCCCCTATAATCGCACTCTCAGAAAAGAGCAGTATTTGTAGCTAGTTGTTGTGTACTTGTACCAAGAGCATCATGGTAGACTCTCTCAAGACTCAGGAAATAAGTACACTCTTGTTCAGGTACCTTTCCCTCTTTTTTCCCAAATTTGGATCAGCCATTTCTCTCAGTCCATGATGACAAGCAAAGTTTGGCCTGAAAATGGGTCTGTGTTTAAAGGGAAAAAACACTAGGTGGGGTGTGTTGCTTCAACTAGTGTTCAGAAGATGAAATATGATCCAGGAAGTCCAGTTTGAATGATACACACATCCATGAGCTTTAAGACTCATCAGACACAGTGACAGGATTTCACAGCTCTGGAAAATGGTCACGGCTGCAAACATTTTATCCTCCATCTCAATGATTGCAAGGTTCACATTACAAAGTAATATACCAGGAAAGGGCTCATACTTGCTTGGCCTGTGCAGTCTGTTGTTGGGTGATGTTGCTGTATAAAATGGACCTGCCAAAGCGGCCTCGTGGCTATTGGTAATCATAAACCTTCCCCAAATGTAGTTTGTCCTCTATTGATTAAACACAACATAGTTGATCCAGGTTCAAGTGTTTTGCCAGTTGACCCTAGGTTGGTGTTATTTTTACTAGGATTCAAGCTGTTGCAACACAGTGGTCACATTGCAATAACCAAAGATGTAGATGTTTCTCATGAAATACTCTTGTGGGACCCCTTCTTGCTTCCTTGAGGACATAAGAAGAGAGGGCAGTGTGGACAGAATAGTAGTTCAAATAAGACTTTTCCTTTTTGCGCAAAATGTTGCCCTCTGCCCATGTTTGCAAGGGTCAGTAGTGAAGACTAAATACAATGATTGCCCATGAGTAAAGCAATTGAATTTCCCAATGTGGCAATTTAAAAGTATATCTTGTTTGGAGAATGCAGCCTAAAGTATGCGGAGACACAATGTGATCAACAAAACTGGATCCATCTTCTGTACTATGAACACTGACTCAGTTTAATGATACCAAGCCAAACTCCCACTAAATATCCAGTACCTTTTATAGTGGATCATAAAACTCATACTTTAACATTATATACAAATATGAAGTTAAGACTTAATCTCCACTCAAGTCCGATTTTTGTTAGGTTAAAAGACGTTGTGACTGTGCACATCTACAGTATTTTTAGATAGAACAACTATATCTAAAGCTACAATGAACGTGAGAGTAAACAGACACCCCACCCATGTGATGTCTGTTTATATACTGTAGCTGTTTACGGGGGGTGGGTGAGTATAGTTAGGTGGATTATCTCATTAGAACATATGTGTGAAGCGTCTGGGAGATTAAAGTCTGGCTTCACAAGCAGAAAATCTCCTCTAAAGCTTTTTGGTAACGGGGACCGAGGTTCTGCACCCTTATCCCCACTCTGCCATCCCCCATCATGCCCTCTGCCTAAAGAAGGGATTAGAAGGGGTAGAGGTCACGGCCACAAAACCAAAAACGCAACCTCTTGATAATGGTTTGGATTGTTAAATAGGATTTCAGCTGCCATTTATTCTCTGCAGCTTTGTTTTATGCATGATGTTGTCTAATGCAATATTTTGCAATAATTGAATGTGTCTTTAAAGAATAAGAAAAAAACATCAGCTAGTTACCATGTAAATGTGGGACGGATAGCTCATGGTCGCTCTTATTTGTGACTTTTCCATGTTCAGGAGGAAGCGCTTTGATGAAAAGTTTGAAGTGGCGGAGCTGCACGTGTGGGACAGGAAGTAGAGTCATAGTGGAAGGTGTTGTGGGTCGGACAGATGCTCATTCAATGGACAGTGGACAGGATGTGTGAGTGTCCTTTTATGGTTCTCCTCTGGGATAACAGTAGCTGGACATGAAGCTGTAACCATCTCAAATCCATCAGGGTTTTAACACAAGGTTATGATTCGTAATAGGAAATGATAACGCACACCTGTTTGGTGCGAGCCGGGGATCTCCCGGGTCTCCCTTACAGTCCAAGCAGAATCATGAATCAACATAAGACTGATTTATAGCTTCTGCAAAGCAACTTCATATCCATATCTAAATTACTGTTCCGTTCTTAGGTCCCTGAAAGGGTCATTTTCGGCTAAAAAAGGATGTATAGCTATACTCAAGTCAGATATTAAGGTCATTTTTTCTCCAACTGAAATGTAAGCCTTCTAAAGCTAAGAAGAATTTAAATCAGACGAAGTGACAGGAAGAGCTTATGTTCTTATTTTTACAGGCAAAGTTTTGAACTTAGAAAGATACAAATCTTTAAGGGATAGTGACAGGCAATCAGGATCGGTCTGGTCATCCCTTCAACAGATAGAGGGTTTTTCTGGATTTCAAAGCATTTTGAAGTGAACCTGAATCATCCCTCTTTCGCCTGGATTGATATTCAATGTGTGTTTTTAATTTATGACTTTGCGGACAAACCACCAAAATTAACACACAATGCAAGTTCCTTTTAATTTCCTTAAAATGTAAATGGTCCTTTGCCGGAGCTGCACAGTGAATGATATGCAATGCTTAGTGGGTTAAAAAATAGCTTTTGTTTACTGCTGTTTTAAATCCTAAACTCAGTCATCCTTTTTATTTAACTTTCAAACATGGATTACCACAAAACTGTCGGTTTTATTACTGTTTGCAACTGATCCAGAATACAGATAATCTTCTCTCCACTTGATTTCTGTTTGTTTGAAGTTGTGCATGCTCCTGATTACACTATACAACCCCAGACCTCTCAGGTTTTCTGTTTCAGGGACCTTGTTGTGACCTCTGAACTGTTGAACAGCCATTCCCAGCTGCACACACTCCAATGTTGACTCTTTCAACTTCCTGCAAGCTACTTGTTTTTATTTCGGAAGTTTCTTGACTTGTCTTCAACTTTAATGTGCATGGTTTTTATTTGTATCCGCAGCATCGTAATTCACTTTGAGTTGGCAGGGATACATAACCAGGCTTGTTTGCTGTTGGTAAAGCTCAGGGTGTATTATCAATCAGCACATTTGAAATACAGAGCAATGTTTTATAGCTTTTCAAAACTAACTACAGCGGCTTTTCTTAGTGCTTAAACCATTCATGATTTAACATGTGATTACAGTAATTAAGGGTATTTATCCAGTGTATTTCTGATGCAGTTTTATCATTATTACATTTTTTTTTATTAGACAGAGAACAGCATTACAGAATTATTATTATGATAAATACATTTGTTGGTAATAAAAGGAGAAATATCCTCATACTTCAGTATCAGTGCAGTCTTAAAGGGTTGAGGGGACATTTATTTGGCACTGTGTTTGTGTCGCATGTTTATCTCTTCAACGGGGATGTTTGTTAGCTCAGTGCCTCTGTGTTGGTGTGTTTGCTCTAATCTTAAATTGATCTGAAGTCACTTCCTGCCATTGTTGTGGCCACATCCCCACTGTCTCCTCTCTTCCCGTCCTTTTAGTCCCCTCTATCCCCATCAAGGAAGCCGGTAGCTGAGAGAGGATACACATTGTGTGTGTGTGTGTGTGTGTGTGTGTGTGTGTGTGTGTGTGTGTGTGTGTGACAGGTATTCTGGCCTGTGATAACATTTAGAGAAATAGTCTGAAGAAACATCTAACAATTACATTACATTACAATGTAGAGAATTAAAGGTTTTTCGGCGTAAAAAATGAAATAATTTCAAATAATGATTAATGCATGCATGCAGGAAAGCTCCACAGATACAACAATTCCAGAAGAAAAAGAGGATCAATTGGGTTTTTACAACTGCAACCTTAGGCTCCAATATACCCCTTTATTGCATTTATATGTGCATTTGTGCGTGCTTGGGAGAGAGAGAGAGTAAAGGACACTGACCTCATAGCCTGTTATAATTGAGACTAATGACAAAAGCATATGGGCGTCAAGA